ATGTGGACCTCTGTATTTGTGACTCAATGCACCATATTGCACTGGGCGCCTTTGGCAGGAAATAGAAGATAACAGTAAAAGCAAACAGAATAGAGTAGATTTGAATATGGGTTCTTTAATTCACTGACTGTCAWCTAAAAGTAACTAACCTTGCTGAATGTCATTCTCCTGCTAGGTAAAAGGGTTTGCAGGGCTACTGTGAGAATTAAATATGATAGCATATTTATAGCTCCTGGCCCTGAAGAGAGAGCCCCAGAGAGTTATCACTCCATGTAGTGTTCCGTACTCTGTTTGATGAGCAAGTGGTGTGTGGACAGAGTGGAAGGTAGCAGAGCCTGAAGGTCAAGAGCGCAGGCCCCAAGTCAGGCACTGGGTCCAGATCTCCTGTCTACYGTGCACCAATTGTGRGGCTTCAGAGAAGTTACTTGACYTCTCTAAGCTTCAGTTCCTTCATCTATTAGTTGGAGACAAGAACAGAACATATCTTCTAGGGTACATTTGGAAGAAAAGAGATAATGCACATAAATCGCCAGGCACTGTGTCTGGTGCCAAGTACACATATAGTAGATGTCAGCTATTATGAATATTAATTGCATTTTTTCTCTGTTGGCCCAGAACTAAACGCATTGGACCAAAAGAGCAAGCACATTGCTATGGAAGCTCTTTTTAAAAGACAAAGTCATGGGGCTAGGGTTATGGCTCAGCGTTCGCCTCGCACGTGCAAGGCCCTGGGTTCGATCCTCAACACCACATATAAATAAAAAAATAAATAAATAAATAAATAAAGTAAAGGTATTGTGTTCAACTACAACTACCAAAAAATAAATATATAAAAAAGACAAAGTCATTTTCAAGCCCTTAAAATACACAAACAATTATAACTGGAAGCAGCAGCATACCAAGAGTGGGAGCTAGGGTGGGACTTTCCCTGGATGGAGGCTACAAGAAGGTTCATAAGCTGTAGGGATATTTTTTTTCCATGCTGGGGATTGAATCCAGGGCCTTGGGCAGGCTACATGATTAGGCAAGTGCTCTGCCATGGAGCTACACCCACAGCCTGTCTTAAAATTTTATTTTATTTTGACACAGAGTCTCATTAAGTTGCCCAGGCTGGCCTCCAACTTGTGATCCTCCTGCCTCAGTGTACTGAGTCACTGGGATTAGGCGTGTGTCACTGAGCCTGACTTGTTTGCTGAGGTTCTAAATGATTGCTGCAATTACTACTGAGTTTTAGGAATGGATAGGTGAGCTTCAGGTTAGTACATCTGTAGTCCTTTTAATAAATGTCATGTTCTATTGCAGAGCTCCCAGGTCTGTAGTCAGACTGGCCCCCACAGACTCAGTTTGTAACATTTTGTAATCATTGGACTGGCTTCACTTTTTGCCTCTAAACCCTGAGAGGAAACAGTATACCCAATCAACAAGAACTTCAAGTCAAGGGGAATTTTATTCATATTTAAAGTTAAAATAAGCCAGGCGTTGTGCTATACAACTGTAACTCCAACAACTCAGGAGGAGGACCAGCTTCCAAACTTAGCAAGACCCTGAGCAAATGAAAAATAAAAAGGACTGGGRATGTAGCTCAATGCAAAAGTGCCCCTGGAGTTAATCCCCAGTACAAAACAAAAAAGTTTTTTAATTAAAAATAAAACAAAACTAAAATAGCTAACAGAGTGAACTGTGAGGAATGACACAGTTTTATTAGTCAGCTATTCAATGCTGTGACAAAATACCCGAGAAAATCGCCTTAAAAGAAAAGAAGGATTTATTTGGGTTCCTGGGTTTCTTGGCCCCACTGTTTTGGGCCTGTGGTAGCACCGTGCCTTATGGTGGCAGGAAGGCATGATGGAGGAGGCCTCTTCATCTCATGGTGGCCAAGAGGGGAAAGGGCCAGGTCCCAGTATCCCTTTCAAGGGCACCTAACTTTCTCCTACTTGACTTSACGTCTTAAAGATTCCACCAYCTCTCAATAAMACCACAGGTTGATGACCAAGCCTTTAACACAAGAGTCTTTGGGAGACATTTAAGATCCAAACCCTAAACTGGGAGCCATAGCACACACCTGTAATCCCAACAACTCAGGAGGCTGAGGCAGGAGAATCATATTCAAGGCCAGTCTTGGTAATTTAGAGAGACTCTAAGCAACTTAACAAGACCCTGTCTCAAAATAAAAAATGAAGAGGGCTGGGATGTAGCTCAGTGGTAAGGTGCTCCTGGGTTCAATTMCAGTACCTAGGCAAGTAAACAAATAAATAGATAGGTAGTTAAATTAAAATAAGTGATCTAAACCGTAACAACATAGTCACCCTTATCCATAGGAGGAATGTTCCAAGTCCCCTCCATGGAAGCAGCAGCAGATGCAAGCTCTATTCTTCCTGAATGGGTTCTTGATTGCTGCTGCGATGGCTGCCCAGGGACTCTCCGGAGAGTTTCCCGGCCTTCAGTCCTGGACTAGGAAGGTATCATTGATCCCTCTTATTCTGAAGCTCCGGCATCTTAGACTTAAGCAGCTACTGGTTCCTCCGGCTCTCTAGCTGATGGCCATTGGAGGACTACCCAACCTCTGGTTGTGTGAGCCAATCCAACAAATCTCCTTTTTAGAATCCTATCTAAGCATTAATTCTGTTGATTCTGCTTCTCCAAAGAACCCTGACTAATACAACTCCCAAGGTAAATGACCTCGAAYTAAATGTTGGTGTTTCTCAAACTGTGATGAATGACCAGTTTTGAAATTTTTGATCTGTTGCAGATGGACACTAATATACAACTTAGATCACTTGGGGGCTCATCYGTGTGGTTTCTATCATCCAAATGTTCTTCACCTGGTTTAACAAGATGTGCCCATCATCACACCTTTGAATGCAGCAGCACTATCAAGTTGCCATAAAGGGTTTTAAACATTTGCTCTCAACCTCTCTTCTTGTCACAGACTGGTGACAGTTTCCTATCCAGCTTTAGTTTGCTCCCTACCATGTCATACAGAACCCCAAGTGAAGACTTTCAGCCAGAAAAAAAATCCCTGTGTAATTAATATGTTATGGTTTGTATGGATCTTAAATGTCCCGCAAAAACTTATGCATTGAAAGCGTGATCCTCAGTGATGTTGTTCCGTGGAAGGTGGTGGACACTTTAAGAGGTGGGGCCTAGAGGAAAGACACTAAATCATTCCAGGTGTGCCCTTGGAGGGGATGTTGGGACCTTTAACCCTTCTCTTCCCTCCCCACCCCACTACTTGCCTCCTGGCTGCCATGAGATGAACTGTTTTGCTGTCTTGTGCTCCCTCTCATAACATTCTGTCCCCRCTCTCGCCTCAGGATTGAAAGCATCAGAGCTAACCTACTGTGGACTGAAACCTTGAACCATAATAACCCTTTCCTCCTTATAAGTTGATCATCTCAGGTATTTTGTCACAGTGATGGAAAACTGAGTAACACATTATATAAGCACATTTTAGCCTCTGGGTTGCTTTGTCTTAGATTCCTGAGCATTTTCTGTGGGTTTGACAGCATGGGTCTAACTCAGCCTCAGTGCCAGCTACGTGCCCTTGGACACATGCCTAAACCTCTTTAAGTGTGCATTTCCTTGACCTTAGAATGAGGAATGTTCATGTCTAGTTCAGAGGGGGCTATAAAAAGGTACGTGTGTATAACCCACCCCATGCTGTCACAAACAGAGTCAGCCCTCACGCATATTAGTTACTGCTTCCCATCTCCCTTGTGGTTGAGGTGTGTGGGGTCAGGATGCACAGCTACCATAATGTAGCCCAGGACAGAGAGCACTGGGCCAGGAGGCAGAACTGTGGGCTCTGATCCTGTTTTCTGGTGATCTGGGTTGGGTCRCTGTGCTACAGATGCAGTTATCGGGCCGTGACGGGGCACCGTCCTGCACACATCTTACACTGGGTCCTGCTGGAGCAGTGTCCCTGTCCTTGGGAGTCTCGCCTTGCGGAGGGCAGCAGACAGAGACGCCGACGGCATACGGCAGGTAACCACACAGACTCAAGGCAGTGACCCCACTTGCTCCTGTGGGAGTTCGCCTGCCTCTCCATCCTGGGGTTCTGAGTGGGAGCCCACAAAATGGGCCTGAATTCGATTCCTGGGGCAGGAGGTGACCCTCCTCCTCCTCGATCCCCTTGAGGAGAAACTTTCTCCTCGGGACACTCTTGGCCTCCCTGGCCACTCTAGGCCTGGCCTTGTCCAGTGGTGAACCGAGCAACCACTGCGGTGCTCTGCTTAGCCACYGCCTCTTCCTCCCAGGAAGGTCCCCTGTCAGGAAGTGGCCTTCTCCTGCCCATGGCTGGCCCAGCAGGGGGGAGCTTCTCCCGCTGGGTTTCACTTAGCAGGCCCCTTCAGCCCTTTTGCTACTTCACCTTCTAACTATAAAATTTACAATTTGGGCACCATCTATTGGATCCTCTATTTCTCAGCAAGTTTTGAACTTGGTCAGAACAGGTCCTCAGGGACCTGGAGAGCTAGACATCCTGTACCCTAGATGGACCACGAGCTCCTTGCTACAGAACCCAYGATGATGTGGACATTGTGGTCCCTTCTCCTCTGGTGACACATAAATTGTTTTTTACTGACACTGGTTGAATGAATGAGCAATGTCTTCTGCAGTGGTGGGAAGGGGGAGTGGGGTCAGAAGGGACCAAGAACTGCTACTGAAAAAGGGAGATGTTTTATCTGGGCTTGGAAAGATGAGGAGGAATGTGCACTGTCAGGCGAACGCCCAGGGTGGGCATGTTCTGTGGCCATCGGTATGTCCCCATCTTTCTGCCACCCCACTTCCTCCTCTGTAGAATGAGAGAACTGCCCTTGCCTCCCTCCCAGGGTCCTTGGGACTGTTATCCAGGGTACCTGAGGCAAAGATGTTTAGAAAATATAAACTGTCGTACAAATTATTATATAATAAATACTGAGTCCCCGGCACAAACATGGACTGTCCGCAGAGGTGAGAAAAACAATATTTTTTTAGCTGATGGATTCTTTTAATCTTGTCTATAAAAACTGGACTTTCCCAGAAATGATTTTCATTAATGTCCAATGCCTACAATTAACCATGACGCCGCTTCCTGAGACAAGATAAGGCAGAATCCCACTCGCCTTTGTGGATGTGATGTTCAAAATGATGTTTTCAGAGAGAACAATAGGAAAACAAGGCTGTCAGTTTGACATTCCTTGTTAGGATTTTTTCAGGCTGCTGATGTCTACATGCAAATAATATCTTTAGAAAAGCAAATGAGTTCCAGTGACTTATAAATTTCTTTTTTTCTCTCCAATTTGCATAGAGGGGAGGCCAGTAGAAAATGTAATGGCAATCAGATTTCACTTGTAATGAAACAATGAAGCATTTTTGACTGTGCAGGGGTGTTTAAATAATCATGAAAGAAGCAGCTGACTCTTTTTTCTCTTGGTCCAATTAGGTGCTGTTTTCTCTGCAGAGAAGAGTCAAAGGCAATCATACCTTGATCCCCCCGTGTCAAAAGTCTGTCTGAAAGATGACGTCTCATCATCCATGAGGGCAGAGCACATTTATTTTTCTGTCTGGATGTGACACCACTTCAGAGAAAGGCTGGTACTTTTGAACAGCAATCTCATCTCCCCCCTGCGTGTAAGTGAGGGCTGCTTCTCCCTAGAAGAGAATTGTGCCCAGCTAGGTATGTTCCCAACTGCTGTCAACAAACAAAAAGTCAGAGAGAGGGAGAGAGAGAGAGAGAGCGAGCAGAGCATTAGGGGGAAGAGACTGAGCTGCCACCTATCAGTGGTTCAGAGGAGCTGGGTGTGCAATCCACTTGCAGAGTTCAATGCTTTCAGCGCAGTAACAGCCCATCTGCAGAAACCATCTGAAGGACAGGCTGCAGATTTCAGCTCCAGCAATATGGTTGTGCTTTCACTGCTGGCAAGGTTTCTGGGAGCCTGGGAGGAAAGAAAGAAAAGAAGAAGGAGGGCTTTGAAATAGAACCAAGACCCTGCTCTGCCTCTGGACAGCCATGGGAAGGGTCATGTCTTAGAAGGAATTTAGTTATTGATTGGGGCCAGTATGGTTTTCTTTTCCAGGACGTAAGCTGTCCCAGTGTCATTGGTGAATGGGGCTCACGGGGCACTTCTCACACACCCAGCATAGTGTGAGGTATTATGGGGGATTCAGAAGAATCATGATCACCATCCCTGATCTCTGTAAAGTGGGGCATGGCTTACAAAGTGTTTTTCACTTACAGAATTGTGTATTTTTGCCTCCCAATAATCCTGAGGAGTAAGAAAGGATATGGAAATTATTTCCCCTTAAAAAGAGTTGAAAGAATAAGAGCTCATAAAAATAATTGCTCAAATATATTAAGCACTTACCAGACTTTCTGAGTTATCACTTTAATTCTCCTAATTACCTTAGAAGGAAGATACTTGCGCTTTCCAATTTGCAGATAAGAAAACAAAGGCTCAGAGAGGTTAAGTTAGTCGCACAGATCATACCAGGAGGACAGRTTGGGGCCAAAACTCCAAACCAGCAGAGGCAGCACCTTGCCATCTTCTGAATCACCATTCTAGGCTGCCTATGTCTTCTCTGTTTTGACACTTAGTCCTCTTCATGCCTCAGAGAAAAACATTCAACAAGTAGTAAGATCCTACAATGCCCAGGTGTGGTGACACACACCTATAATCTCAGCTACTCAGGAGTCTGAGGAAGGAGGATTGAAAGTTCAAAGCCAGCCTCAGCAATTTACCAAGATCCTTTCTCAAAATAATGGCAGCATGGGGCTGCCATGTAGCTCAGTGGTAGAACACTTGCCTAGCACAATTGAGGCCCTGAGTTCAATTCCGAGTACCACAGCAGGAGCAGGGAGCCTACTATGTGCCACGACTAGCCTTGAACCCTGGGAATGCCTTTGATTAGTATTTTTTGGGTGTCCACTATGTGCCAGGTGCTGTCTGTGCTTGGGACAATCAGGGAGCAAAGCTCTCTGCCTTCCTGGAGCCTACATTCCACTGGGACCAGCAGATAATAAATAAGATACACTTACAGAAATAATGTAGTATGTTAGAAAGTAATAAAGCTCTAAAGAAAAAAGAACACTTAGGGTATAATGGAGGAGACTGGGGGTACTGGAGTCAAGGTACGGAGAAAGGATGCACTCTTTTCTTTTCTTTTTTCTCTCCTACCAGGGATTAGACCCAGAGCTTCATATGCACTACACAAGGGCTCCACCACTGAGCTTTGCCCCCAGCCAAAACAAACTTTTTTCACTTTTTTTTTTTTTGGTACCAGGGATTGAACTCAGGGGCACTCAACCACTGAGCCACATCCCAGCCCTATTTTGTATTTTATTTAGAAACAGGGTCACACTGAGTTGCTTAGTGCCTTGCCTTTGCTGAGGCTGGCTTCGAACTAGTGATCCTCCTGTCTCAGCCTCCCATGCTGCTGGGATTACAGGCATGCGTCATTGAACCTGGCCAAAGATAAACTTTTAAATGAGGTGCTCAGGGAACATCTCACAGAGAAGCTGTCATTTAAACAATAGAGAAAAGCCTTATAAACAGAGGGAACAGGCAGTGCCTGATGTTCAGAGGATAGCAGGAAAGCAGTGCAGCCGTGCTGGTGAGTGCAACAGACAGCAAGACAAGATGTGGCCCCGGTGTGATGGGGAGCCAGGTCCTGGTGGGCCTCCTAGGCTATTGTGAAGACTTTGACTTTGACTCTGAATGAGATAGGGAGCCCTGGCTGGGATCCAAGTAGAGGAATGCTCTATTCTCACATCTCTGAAGAAACACTATGGCTGCTGTTTTGAGGATGGACTCTAAAGGGGCAAGGATGGAGGCAGGGAGGCCAGTTTAGAGGCCAATGCAGTGATCCAGATAACAGAGGATGGTGGCTCCAGGTGGTAGCAGTGGAGATGGTGAGAGTGGTTAGTTCTGCACACTTTTTTTTTTAACKTGGAGCCACATCACAGGTCTATCCAGTCATTAAGCCCAAGGTAAAGAAAGCTGCTTTTATCATAGAGAAACAGAACACAAGAACTCATGCATGGTGATTTGAAATAGAGCTAACTAGGACCGTACTTGGAAAGGCACAACAGAAAGAAAGCATGGTGGTTGGAAAACAACATATTTCTTATTTTTATTCTTTATCTTATTAAATTCAATGTACTCAGGGACATAATGCAAGTCTCACTAGCAAAGTCACGTCACCTCTGACTTTTCCCTCGTGACTATGCAATGAGTACAGTCCATAGACAGAGTAACAGTCTTATAGGAACCATTGCTTCTTTGTTTTCCAAGCTTCTGATTTAATCCATTGGGAATTGCAAATAAAAGGAGAAAAGGAAGCAACATAATGCATTCATTATTTAACTATTCCTGATCCCTGTGACCATGGACATCTTGTGATCATGAGAAGCCAAAGGAGGTTGGCTCTTTTCTCAAAGACTGCATCTCTAAGATGCTAATTTGAAAAACAAAAGATTAATTGGATTAACACTCCTGTATCCCTGTCTCATGAGAAGAGGATGAGTTGTCCAGCCTGAGGAAGGTATCATCCTGGGCTTGGTGGCCTTAATTCTCTGTGTATAACACAGAAAGTGTTTTGCTGTTAAATTCACTGGATCATCATGTGATCTGTTATCATGGATGAGTGTGGGCAGGAGATGAGCATCATCAACAGTATTTACTGACTGAATCTTCTGTGCAGCACTCTGCTGTTTGTCTTATTCACTGTTGTCTACCCAGTTCACAGTCYTTTAATTCAGCCTGACATTGTTTTTCTGTAAGGTGGCACAACTGTTAATGTTCACAGGTGAATGAAGATCCGGCTTCCTGAAGGCTTAATGGTCTCATATCCAGGGACCATTTTCCCTGATGGAGCACACTCTTAAAAGTGGACTTTGATACTGGATTATGTTCTCAGGAACAGGAGCTTGCTTCCCTCTCTAACCTCCAACTCGCCTGATTGCACATTGTACAGCTAACATCAGACTCCAGTTGAGAAAGCATGGGATAGCAGTTTCTTTATGGATAAATATCTAAGCATAGTTCTTTCAAAGTAAATTTAAACAGAGATATTCAAAATAATCAGGGTTATGATTTCTGGAAATTCTAGCCATTAAAAGGCAAGAAAAATAAAATAAATAAGAAACATTATAATTATTTGGAAGAATTGTTGTAAATAATAAAAGTTCATGGGGCTTGGGTTGTGGCTCAGCAGTAGAGCGCTCAGGAATTTTGGGGAACATCATGTCCAAGAATAAAAATGGAGGCCTGAAAACTAAGGCTTCCTTATTTTGGAATCATCTCAATAGGAAGTCAGTCATTACAGACCAGAGATCACCGGTATTAAGAACCTTGGGCATGTGAAATTTCTCACACACATTAGCAATCACATTTTAATAAGAAAAGAGCCTATGTGTTTATTTTTGGAAGCAATGATAGAATGATAATCAGGAGGTCATTGTCTTCAAAGGTCTGAGGAACCCTGAAGGGATACAGGAGATGGTATAGTGACTGAGATTGTGCTAGGCTAAGCTAGATGTGGGAAATGATACTGTGTGGAAAAAATGTGCCTGAAGCTCAGTTTGAGGAGGCAGACAGGTCCAGCACACGGCATGGCTAGAGGAGGACRGGATGATAGCCTGACTCATCTCAAGGAAGATTAGGATAATTTTTCTTTTGGTTTCAAAATCTCTCCCCTACAGCGTTCAGTTCATGGATTTTTATAAGCATGTCTGAATCTAAGAAGATTGCTTTGTAACAAGGCACGTGTGTGTGCGCGCACACACACACACACACACACACACATACACACACGTTGCCATGGAAACATCACTGTGCTTGTGTGTCAGGTGCAAGTGCATGCGCACAGTATGTTAATATATTCTCGGGAAATGCCTTTTCTGCCTTCTCCTTCTGGTGTTCTTTAGACTTCTAAAAAGATGCTCTTGGAGCCAAAATTTTACTAACCTTATCGTCCAACTGTTGTCTACAGTCTCTTTTGTTTTGAAATTTAAAATATTGATTTTAGGTTTTTCTTTGACATAATCTCTCCTGGAATTGAAGTAGTCTGTTATTTGACCTTTCACCTAGCTCATTTTTTCCTCCCAGCTCTTAAACTGACATATTGGGGATCTTAATACATATAGCTTTATTTCAAAAGAAACCTATTTCAGTTCCTAGTTGATTTATTTGATGAGTATAATGATGCATTGGGTGTATTTCATTTTCTTAAGTATTCTCAATCCCAAATATTGTTTTAAAGTGGCCAAACAGCAATTTCTTGGGAGAATGTCAGTGAATCACAAGTTCATGAGTATGAGACTGTAGGTGTCTGGTTCAGTCTTCAAAACTTATGTAAACTTGAGAAGAAACTAAAGTAGATTTGCATGCTGAGAAAAAAGTTATTTCAACACGTGTTTCTTGAGCACCTCCTAGCAGTCTATATATGACCCAGGTACCCTTGAGAACTAACTGTTCAACTATGTAGAGTAGATCATGAGCAGTGCTAGGTGAGGTGGGGTAGGAGAGTCAGGGACCTGCCTTTAGAGTTTACCACCCCCACTTCTGGGCTCTCCCTTCAGTTGGGCCATAGAGTCTAAACTGTAAAAAATGAGCAACTTGGACTAGACTATCCCCCTGGTCCCTTCAGCTCCAAGACTCCAAGATGGTGATTTGGTTTTACCACCAGGCACAGTGCAGGTGGATAGTTGATCAGGCAGCCTCAGTAAGGCCAGCAGTGACTTGGTCATATCACTGGGTGGGGCCTGACACCCCAGTAGTCTCTCCACCTGTGTCATGCCAGTTTCTCCCCAGTGCCTTGGCCCTCCTGGAGTGGAGTGGAGCTCCTACTCAAGTGTCCCTTACAGATTTTGCATTCTTCTTCTGCCTTCTTCACATCTGTCCTTTGTCACTCCCCATGGAGACTAGCCAACTTGACTCATTTGTTCACGCCAAGTTATCCAGTGGCTGCATTTGCCAAATTCAAAGTAATATTTTTAAATTGTGAAATTACTTTTTGGGGAACCAACCCTGATAAAGTCTCCAATCTGTTTCCCACAACTTACCCTTTCATAGGTGTTGTTTCTGCCCCAAGGGCAATTATTTGAACTCACCCAAGCCCTCCACTGTCCTGGAGTTGGCTGATGGCCTGTGATTGCTCAGCAGAGTTCCTTCTTCACTCTGGACTGTACTGACACCTCACTCTTCAAAGTCATTCTCCAGATTGAGCCCTCTGTAAATTCTCTTGTCCTTCAAGATCTTACCAGAAAGTGCAAACATTTGTAATTGTCTGATGTTCATCTCTCCCAGGAGATTCTGCACTCCAAGACAACACCATGCCATGGTACATCCAGTGCCTGGCATGCAACAGGGATTAGGTAATAACTGTTGGATAAGTGCATAGCTGAACTCATAAGTGAAAGCATTGTCCCAACCCATAGAGAAGACAAATGATGGGAATTGCAGGCCTTGACATGTGCATATGGTAAAGAGACTTTTTTTTAATTTTTAAATTTTTTTGTAGATGTAGATGAACAGAATGCCTTTATTTTGTTTGTTTATTTTTATATGGTGCTGAGAATCGAACCCAGTGCCTCATGCATGCTAGACAAGCACTCTACCACTGARCTACAACTCCAGCCCCTGGAGAGACTTTTTTAACAGGTAAACTTTCTCCTTCATCTCTCCTTATAGTGCTAACCTGGCCCTTGGAGGGCAGATGCCTGCAGAAAAAAACATTATCACTCTGAAATGTCCCAGTTCTACCTGCAACTATTTGTTAGCAGGAGGGCTTCATCATTATGAGACCTTCCTTTACAAAAATTCAAAGCATTTTACTTTGCATATGAGCAAACATGTTAGTGACAGCAGTGCTCAGAATGTGAAGCACAATAGTATAAACCATGAATTGTTGAGACTTGCTCTCATGTTACAATGAAGCTTTGGTAGTAAAAAAAAACCAGAATCCTTTTTTTTTTTTTTTTGGCCAATATCATAGCCCATTTTCTATTGCTATAATAAAATACTACAGACTGGTTACTATATTTAAAAAAAAGTTCTTTTAGCTTACAGTTCTGGAGGCTGGGAGGTCCAACAGCATAGTGCCAACATCTGTTCAGCATCTGCTGAGGGCCTTCTTGCTGCATTATAGCATGAGAGAAGACATCACATTAAAAGTCAGAGCAAACCAGCCAGTGAAAGCTCACTTTTAAAATACAGTCACTCCCAAGACAACCCATCAATAATCCATGAATGGATCAATCCATACATGAGGCAGACAGAGCTTTCATGACCCAGCCACTTCTTAAGGGCCCTACCTCCCAACACTGCCACAAATCAAATTTCAGTAAATTTTGATGGGTACAAATTATAGTCAAACCACAGAAGCTGGTAAAGTCCTTTTGCCTCTCGGGGCCACAGTTTCCTCCCCTACAGATGGACTTAGCCCTTTCTCCAATTCCTTCCTAAGCAGACATTGTAACCGCTTGATTTAAATACAATTTTTCTGATATTGGTAATGCCTAAATCCCTCATGTGGAAATTAAAAAAAAAAGCAAGTGTAGACTATGTCAGGCAATTAATTAATACACATATTTTGTGATGTTTTAAATTTTATCAGCTTTTAAAATCTATTATATTTTCTAACTATTCTTGTTTATATCTTAACCATTCACATATGAATTTTTCTTTAAATTTTTATTCATTCTTGGGAAATGAATAAAAATGGCATTAATGCCATTTGTATTGTCCCGATGAGTGCTGACAGATTTACAGTTTTGCTGCCTATTCTATTTGTCTTACCTGGAGAATGGATGGGTGGCTTGGGTAGATTGCCCTCAAGTCTTTGGACAGTGACCCAGCTATAAAATATGCTTGTCTCATTCTGTCTTCCCTGTTTCAGCAATGAAAATCAGAAAATTCATTTAACCCCTTCATGTCTTAGTTTTTTCATATATGAAATAGAAAGAGTACCTTGCTCTATGTTTGTCTTAAGAAATTTGGCAAAGGCTATTGCAATTTTCATGGCTGTTGTCATGCCAATTCCACAGAGACCTCTGATGTCTGGGCTRTATGCAGATGTGGGCTCACTAGGGATTTGGGACACTCTCTTGTGGGGTCCCACAGAGAGCATTTAGAGCAGGGTGCTGACTCAAGGTGTTCTGTGGACATTGAAGGCAGATTTGGTGTTGTTTTTTTTTGGAGGAGTGGCTTCCCTCAAGGACCAAATCCTATCTAGTCTGATACTAATGAAGAAAGTAAGAATAAATGTGTCATTTGTATCTGTATGGGGAATTTGCCTGTGGTTGTCAGCTGTTGGAGAAACTCTTTCCTCTTTTTGGATGTTAAATTGTTTGTTTTTAAACATTCATGAAATGTACTCGTTCATAAATTTTCAAAGTCTGCTTGGAACCACTGAGCTGAAGGACAACCCTGATGTTTCCAGATATTCTGTGACCTGGTTTTGTCAGTCAATGATTAACTGACTTTGGCGAGCAGAGATAACGCTGAGCTTTGGAAATTTACCCAGCTTCTTGAAAGTAGAAGGACATCAACAATTTTGCTAAGGGCATGTATACTATGTGCCAGGACCTGTTTGGTCCTATTGCATTAAACTCTCTCAGGAACTCTTTGAGACGGGAAGTGTTATGTTCATTTAAAATAGGAAGCTCAGAAAAGACAAGTTGATTGATCCTGGTATTCAGTGACTAACCAGCAAAGTCTGAATTCAAACTGAACTTGTCTGAACCCAAAGTCCACAGACTTAAAACTTCACTAGCCTGATTCCCAAAATAAAACCACAAAACATATATTTCAATCTAGGATGTATTTTTTATTGTCAATTGAAGGCCATTTGGGGGCTGACATTTTAATCCTGATATCAACAAAGAAAACTCTAGAAGACTTTAGAGGCATGAAGACTGGCCATTGAAAGAGACTAGCCTGGACTGAGCAGGACTGGTTAGTCCACAAAAGCAGGGCCTCCTGCTGAGTCTGTGGAGGAGTCTGCAGGGATGCTGCAGACAAGGACCAATAGTCACCAAGTCCTGAGTCACACCTTAGCCCTGTGTGTGTGCCAGAGCTAAGAGCAAAACATTCTGGATGATCTCTCCTTTGGTATCATCTATCCTTGATGCTCTTGACATTCATAGGAATAATCAATGCCTACTGAAATGACTGACATAGGAAACAAAATAGTCATTTGCCCTGCGGGTCTGTTACCAGTAATCAGCCTTGTATTTAGTGATATATGGGCCAGTGTTTATTTCTGTATCTCTCTATTTTAAAAAATTTTTTAGTTGTAGAGGGACACACAATATCTTTGTTTAACTTATTTTTTACGTGATGCTGAGGATTGAACCAGTGCCTCACACATGCTAGGTAAGAGCTATGCCACTTATTAAATCTGTTTTCTTAGGATTAAATGATACTGTGAAGTGACAAAGAAAGTCTAATATTCTGATTTTCAAGACTCCATTGATAAGAAATCAGTTCAAGGGAAGGCTAAGTTTTGGGGCAGAATGACAAAAAAATCTCTAAGCCCTTGTTTGCAAATCTTTTTTAATGTTTATTTTTTAGTTTTAGGTGAACACAATGTCTTTATTTTATCTTTATGTGGTGTTGAGGATCAAACCAGTGCCTCACGCATGCCAGGCAAGTACGCTACCACTTGAGCCACATCCCCAGCCCTGCAAATCTTAATATAATAAAAATCACAGTTTTGGTGCTCTTGGCTAAAGTTTCCATGTAGTAGGTCCAGTAGGGGTTCCCTGAAATCAGTGCTCTAACATATAATTTGGGGTTCTGAGTATAAGCAAAAGATTCAAGGAACACACTGGCAGTTCTAAGATTTCGGCATTTTCATTGAAAGGCATATAATCTTTCACTTGGTAAATGGAAGCGCTTTCTTTGTTATAGTTTTTTTTTCAACTGACAGGGATACAGGGATGATGGTTTTTTCTTTTTCTTTTATTTCCCAGTGCCGAGATTGAACACAGGGCCTTACACATGCTAGGCAAATATTCTTCTACCTCTGAACTACTTCCCCAGTCCTTTTTAAATTTTATTTTGAGCCAGATGCAGTGGTGTATGCCTGCAATCCCAGCAAGTTGGGAGCCTGAGGCAGAAGGATCCAGGTTCAAGGCCAGCCTCAGTAACTTAGTGAGACCCTGTATCAAAATAGAAAATAGGAGCCGGGGTTGTGGCTCAATGGTACAGCGCTTGCCGAGCATGCATGAGGCACTAGGTTTGATCCCAGCACCATGTAAAAATAAACAAAATAAAGGTATTGTGTTCATCCATAACCAAAAAAAATTTTCTAAATAAAATAAAATAAAAAATAGGGGATGTGGCTCAATGGCATAGTGTTCCTGGATTCAACACACAGTATCAAGAGAGAGAGAGAGAGAGAGAAGAAAAAAGTTTAAAAAAATTTGAGATAGGGTCTTGCTAAGTTCCCCAGGCTGGCCTTGACCTTGCCATTCTCCAGCCTCAGCCTCCCCAGTAGCTGGGATGATAGATAGGTGTGTGCCGCTGTGCGGGGCTGACAACAGCTCTTTCTGACTTTACATGCTGAGAGGAAACTGCTAAGCCTCCAAATAATGACTCCTTTCTAGAGTCTATTTTAATATAAAATCAGCCAAAAAGAAGAATCCTGTGGAGAGTTCCAGGGTTTGAGGCGGGGGAGGGGTGATGGCCAAGGACTCCTAAGGATCCAGGAGAGGACACATTTGTGAATACTTTTCATTAGGACAAGGAATGTGCTGGGCTCTGTCAGCACGAAGGCCATAAATTTGGATGGAGCATCACACTAATTCAAAAGTCCTTCGGAATTTCCAGATGGTTCTGTATCTATTGAGTGCCTAAAGATGCGGATTCTCTGGCTGGCTGCCATGCTTCTCCAAAGTAACACATGCCATGTGCAGGGCCATCTTCATGGTTGTTTATGGGCAGGGAGCCATTCTGGTTAATCAACACTTGGGCAGAATGACAAAATATACTGAAAGTCACTCCTAACTGTGTAGGCCCCTCCTGGGCAAGTTTGTCTTTCAAGTTTTTTGTACTTTGAAAGGTTTCAAAGTGGAGACTATAGGGCTGGGGTTGTAGTTCAGGGGTGGAGTGCTTGCCTAGCATGAGTGAGGTGCTGGGTTTGATTCTCAGCACCGCATATAAATAAATAAATAATAAAGGTCCATTGACAACTAAGAAAATATTTTTTAAGTTAAAAATAAAAATAAATGAAGGATATAAAGGGTGCCATGAGAAAGAAGAGCTGGACCTTGAGGCAAGGTGGCAGGAGGAAGAGAAGGGAAATAGCTAAACATACTTAGTATGGTGTCTCTAACTCATTGGGGAAACTGGACTATGAGTGGCACAGGGCTAAAGGATGAGCTCTGAGCTGAAAGGTCACAGTGGGTCTCAGCAGTGGTCATCCACAAGGATCCACTACTGATATCTGCCAAAGGCTCAAGAAAGGGTGTATGTCGGGTACTTCTTGGTCCTGCCCTGGTTGATGTGGGGCTACATTTTGCTCTCTTTGGCCTTTCTTTTATTAATCTCTCCTTTCAGACACACACCAGCCTTTTCCTCATGAATATACATGACTATCTGCATGCTGCTCGAATAACAGATTTATAGTTGGTTAGGCARAATATCTCAGAGGTATCTGGGCTAATGAGCAATAAGTGCCACTCRGCATATGTCCTAAAAGTTATACACAGGGAAATCCCTACAAGTTTGGCTTTCTCTGGGTAGTCACTTTTTCTCTTTGCAACAGATGTCCAACACATCAGGTTCTCCCATGTCTCAGAACCAACTGTCACCCTCAAATCCCCTGGAGTGCATCGTCACTGTGGCAGGGTCTATGACATCTGTCACTGGACTTCTTCACACAGAAGACATGGTAGATTAACATGAATTATGACTGTGTAATCACCAGCACTTTCAGTCACAACTGAGCTCTCTGGAAACATTGCACCATGTGATAGTGTTGGTCTTCCCAGTTGTGTCCTGCTGAATGAATGGAAAATGGTATAGACAGGCCACTCACCTTGTTCCCTTATTGCTCTATAGCCTGGGTCTTTGCCATTTCTATAAAAATCATGTTTTCC